TGACCTGTCGACGAACATAAGCAAACTCGCTCGACTCCGTTGCAGCGGGATCGCCAACCTGCTGTGCGGAGATAGACAGAGAAACGACAGCTCTCTGTTACTCCACCATAGCCCGACCGTAACCGTGGGCCAGGACGTAACATTTGAATAGCTCATTAGATTTTGTTTTTGTCGTACTTATGGCGCTTGTTTATTTTAAATATGTACATAAGCTTACAAATATTTCTACATGAATATATAGTGAGGTTATAAAAGAAAACTGTATAAGAAAAAATTTGTGCTAAATTTTGACATTCCAAAGAACAAGCGCCAATTCTTAGCACAATTTACTTATTTCTGTAGAAGCATTTTAGATTTAATGCAGTAAATACGACACCAAATATCATAAGAGAAAATCGGTTTACAGTCGCTATAGTCTAGGTTTTAATAGCAGATAACTCCGCAAAAAATTAACGTATCAAGATAAATAAAAGCTCAATTTCAAGCTTAACCACTTGCACTGGCAAAAAAGTCACTGACGCGTGTACCAGAACGGTCCAGTGTAACTCGCTGGGAGGCGTCAACACGCAGTGTTCGATGCCTCAGAGAAATCGGAAAAAGATTTATATTTTCTAAACTAATTTATTGTTGACCTAGAACTTTTTATAGTTTTTTGAAGGGAATATAGAGCATCGGTTGATTATAAAATTATACAAATATAAATATTAAATTTATTTATTAATAATCATGCAACGTATGATATCTTTCAAAACAGTCTGGAACATGCAATGGTACAAGGCATTTCTTACATTCCCATACAGTTTCACTTCGCCTTTTGTGTTTGGTACACACTTTACACCTTCGCTGTGGATTCTTTTTGGCATTTGTGGGTGGAATATTTTTCGGAAAATGTCCCCATTGCGTTGCCTCTAAACGATTGGGTGTGCTTCCAACAGACATTGTTCCGCGTTTTTTATAATCGGGAATACACACAGCCTGTAATAGTTGCTCTACCACATCTAATCGAAATTTCGGGAAGGAAAATTTCTTGCTTTTTGCTATATCCATTTTCTTACAGAATAAAACATAAGAATTAAAAAGCGCAACATCCGCTAAGTAAAAAAATATTTTTTTATAGCTTTTTACATATTTTCTTATAAGAGCAAAAGAAGATAAATAACTATCTTGTAAATCTACCCCACCCATGCCATTATTGTACTCCAAAACAATGTTGNGTTTTGTTACAGGGTCGTTGTTATTTTTCCACCTCTTCTTTTCTACTTCTTTCATCTCTACTTTCGAATGCTTTGTGGACATTACGTATATGTCTTTTTTGTCTTTCCATCTGGCAACTAAGATACCATTAGACGATCTTGAGATCACATCAGATCGTTTCACTTTTTCCGCTGCTAGTTCTTTGGGCATATGCTTTCTGTTACACCTCACTGTTCCTATGGCATTTGTTTTTATAGATTGTAACTTTGCAAATAGACTTGGTGATGAATACCAATTGTCGAGAAACAGAGTGTGACCGTAACCAGATATTGTTGTGCACATAAACATTGTAACACTTTCCGATGCACTTGTGTCAGCATTTTTATTTATATCCTGACCTGTGTATATCTTGAATTGAATGCAGTATCCAGATTTTGATTCGCACAGTTTATAAAATTTTACTCCAAAGCGGGCCCTTTTCTTTGGGTTATACTGTTTGTATATGCCATACGGCCTGTATATTTCATTAGTGATTCGTCTAATGATAGATCTTCCTCGGGAGTGTAAATAGTCTTAAATTTTTCATTGAAATAATCGATTATACTTCTCAATTTCCATAAACGATCATTATTGTGGTCTTCAACATCGTTGTTACTAAAGTGTAAAAAGCGCGATAACTGGGAAAATCTCCAAAATGGCATTATTTTTCGAAATATCGGAGTTTCGATTATACTTCTTTTTGACCAATAAGATTGAAGACTGTTTTTCTTCACTTGCGACATCAGAATGCATAAAGCAAAATATGCTTTTATTTCGCGTTAAGATTTGTATCTCTCTAATTATCTTCATATTTTTTTAATTTGTGAGTTTCATTTCGGAGTATCTGGCTCTCGTAACGATTCGTTTGAGTTACGATAATTTGCCAAAAGTCTTCCGTTAGTATTTCATTTATCATTTGTAAAACTGTGACACTTTGGTCAAAAGGTATATTTATTTTCGAAGTTCGTGAATATTTCCAAATTTTAGTTATATTTTTTGGTATTTTTCCATACCCATTCATTAGGAATAAGATCAATTTCACAATCTTCATTTATGTATTCTTCCTCGTCATCAGATAAAATTCTTCGCCGGTTTCGGAGTGGAAAAACTATTTCATCGAGGTCACTATCACTATGACTATCACTACCATCGTGTTTTCTTTTTCCATTTGTCGAAATAATGTCGTTAATTTCACTTTTGCTTTCCATTTTAGAATATGGGTTAAATATTGATAACTGTACGCTATGCAGTGCACTGATGATCTGTACTCTGACAACAATCCCACTTGACGTGCCACGCACGTCGTTTCTGTTTCTGTAACAATCGCATGACGACGTACATACCACGTCGTGGGCGATTCTGTGACAAAAGCATTACGACGTGCGTGGCACGTCTTTCCAGCGCAAGTGGTTAAGAGGGTACTGGATACCGACTATAGAGACCTGTAAACCGACTTTCTCTTATGACGTTTGCTGTCGTATTTACTTCATTAAATCTAAAATGCTTCTACAAAAATAAGTAAATTGTGCTAAGGATTGGCGCTTGTTCTTTGGAATGTCAAAATTCAGCATAAATGTTTTCTTATACAGTTTCCTTTTATAATCTCACTATATATTCATGTAGAAATATTTGTAAGCTTATGTAAATATTTGCAGTGAATTAGCGCCTAACATACGACGAAAACAAATCGAATGAGCTATTCCAATTATGATTTGACTATCTCATTGATGAGAGAAACGTGAGTTCGTGATGATATGTATTTGATATAAAATACGATCACTGTTTCTGTAAAAAACAGCAGCATGTAATTCACAAAAATCCCAATAGAGAGTGCTACACTATGACGTGTGCGCATATGACCATTATGCATGTGTATATCTGTCATGCTATATGACAAATCTTCTAACCTACGAATTTCATTAGAATGGCGTATGGACTAACTTGAGGCGGTCCTTTGAGCCATATAGGGTAACTGTCCCTATTAGTGTGCTGTTAAGCAAGCGTACTCTCTTTTTTGAATAAATACTCAATTAACTGACTTTAAATGAGCTTGCTCAAAATTTATATCGATTCTTTAAACTCTTCTTTTGACAATAAGATTTTTATTAGCTCAAAATATTAATATA